GACCCCAACTTATGCCTAGAACAGATTAATTTGGTGGCACTCGATGTATGCACAAGGCTTATTCCTCTAAGAGAAAGGAGGAGTAGATGTAAAATAGAAAGAGACAGGCACTCCCTTTACAGGCGACGGAAAAGAATAACAGAGCGGCTAAAAGAGGTCAATATATCTGAAATGCGTAGGGAGACACTGGTCAGAGAAATAACAAGCATCGAACTCAAGCTAAAGGAATCTTATAGGAGTCAGGAATCGAGGGAAGAACTAAAAGCCATAAATGAAATCGAAAGAAACCCAAAGTATTTCTTCTCCTATGCCAAATCAAAGTCGAGAACAACGTCCAGTATTGGGCCCCTACTTAAACAAGATGGGTCCTACACAGATGACAGCAAGGAAATGAGTGAGCTACTCAAGTCCCAATATGACTCAGTTTTTAGCAAGCCGCTAACCAGACTGAGAGTCGAAGATCAAAATGAATTTTTTATGAGAGCCACAAAATTTGGTTAACAAAAGCCTATCCGATGTTATCCTGACGCCAAATGACTTCGAACAAGCGATAAATGACATGTCCATGCACTCTGCCCCAGGGCCAGACTCATGGAACTCAGTGTTCATCAAGAACTGCAAGAAGCCCCTATCACGAGCCTTTTCCATCTTATGGAGAGGGAGCATGGACACGGGGGTCGTCCCACAGTTACTAAAAACAACAGACATAGCCCCACTCCACAAAGGGGGCAGTATAGCAACAGCAAAGAACTACAGACCGAAAGCACTAACATCCCATATCATAAAAATCTTTGAAAGGGTCCTAAGAAGCAAGATCACCACCCATCTAGAAACCCATCAGTTACACAACCCAGGGCAACATGGGTTTAGAACAGGTCGCTCCTGTCTGTCTCAACTATTAGATCACTACAACAAGGTCCTAAATGCACTAGAAGATAAAAAGAATGCAGATGTAATATATACAGACTTTGCAAAAGCCTTCGACAAGTGTGACCATGGCGTAATAGCGCACAAAATGCGTGCTAAAGGAATAACAGGAAAAGTCGGTCGATGGATCTATAATTTCCTCACTAACAGAACACAGAGAGTAGTCGTCAACAGAGTAAAGTCCGAGGCAGCTACGGTGAAAAGCTCTGTTACACAAGGCACAGTACTCGCTCCCATCTTGTTCCTCATCCTCATATCCGACATAGACAAGGATGTCAGCCACAGCACCGTGTCTTCCTTTGCAGATGACACCCGAATCTGCATGACAGTGTCTTCCATTGCAGACACTGCAAGGCTCCAGGCGGACATCAACCGAATCTTTCAGTGGGCTGCAGAAAACAATATGAAGTTCAACGATGAGAAATTTCAATTACTCAGATATGGTAAACATGAGGAAATTAAATCTTCATCAGAGTACAAAACAAATTCTGGCCAAAAATAGAGCGAAACAACAACGTCAAAGACCTGGGAGTGATCATGTCGGAGGATCTCACCTTCAAGGACCATAACATTGTATCAATTGCATCTGCTAGAAAAATGACAGGATGGATAATGAGAACCTTCAAAACCAGGGAGGCCAAGCCCATGATGACACTCTTCAGGTCACTTGTTCTATCTAGGCTGGAATATTGCTGCACACTAACAGCACCTTTCAAGGCAGGTGAAATTGCTGACCTAGAAAATGTACAGAGAACCTTCACAGCGTGCATAACGGAGATAAAACACCTCAATTTAAACTGGAGCGCTTGAGGTTCCTAAAACTGTATTCCCTGGAACGCAGGAGGGAGAGATACATGATTATGTACACCTGGAAAATCCAAGAGGGACTAGTACCGAACTTGCACACGAAAATCACTCACTACGAAAGCAAAAGACTTGGCAGATGATGCAACATCCCCCCAATGAAAAGCAGGGGTGTCACTAGCACGTTAAGAGACCATACAATAAGTGTCAGGGGCCCAAGACTGTTCAACTGCCTCCCAGCATACATAAGGGGGATTACCAACAGACCCCTGGCAGTCTTCAAGCTGGCACTGGACAAGCACCTAAAGTCGGTTCCTGACCAGCCGGGCTGTGGCTCGTACGTTGGTTTGCGTGCAGCCAGCAGCAACAGCCTGGTTGATCAGGCTCTGATCCACCAGGAGGCCTGGTCACAGACCGGGCCACGGGGGCGTTGACCCCCGGAACTCTCTCCAGGTAAACTCCAGGTATTATTACAATCAAAACTAAGCACTAAACCCACAAGGTTAGTACTTCTTAGTATATTCAAAAAACACTTGCTAAATCCTTATGGGTTATACAGCCCCTGTGTCTTATCTTTCTGTTAACATAAACCTTCCACACAATGTGACATTATAAGAGGATGCCTCAACATTTTCAGAAAGGCCAAGACTCTGCTTATCTTGACAGGATGTTTGAACTTTTCACTAGTCTTTAACCATAAACAATTTAAATTTACTTATATAGTACTTTTTTTCAGTTAGGAATTATCTCTACTCATATTTTTGTTGTATTTAATCTGCTATTTACCCATGACAAAACTATTAAATAAAAAATACGTTTAATTTTTTTTGGTAATTTGCTAACATGTGAAAACTTGATGTACATTTACTACTGTGTGGTCCTGTGTTGCTGAAGGGCTCATGATCCAAGGAATATGAGCTACCCTCTCCTTCCTTGGATCAAACCCGATTACCTCTCATTCCCAAGGAACTGATTGTATGAGCTCCAAGTATGTGTATATTGGCACAAGTACACATAAGTACAATAATCATAGTGTAAATTACCTAGGATAACCCCCCAAAAAATGGTCGAAGTGACTAGTAAGCAAGTTTATTCTGGTATACATTGAGGTTTTGCACTTTCCTATTAATACATAGAAAATAATCTATGTAAACACTTGCCACAATATGCTTCGGCAGAATACCCAGAGCTAGTTAAACATAGCTAAACAACTCTTAATACATTTCTGAGCTAGCACTCTCTTATAGCACTGTAATATACTTAAACCATTGTTTTACCAATGTCAACTTTACGTTTAAAATACTTGATTTATGCAACGAAAGGTCTCAAAATAATAACAGCTGCTGAAGTACAGTCCAGGCTGTGCCACAGTTACCTGCGTGTCCCCACAGTGAGACCAACCCTGTGAAGTATCTATGGAGGGGACCCCGTCACTGATTCACATTGATGATCTCCATAAAGGGTCCTTTTGGTTGCCATGGAAGGGGAGCCTCCATGGTTGGGTGCCATGGAGGGGACCTCCATGGTTGGGTGCCATGGAGGGGACCTCCATGGTTGGGTGCCATGGAGGGGGCCTCCATGGTTGGGTGCCATGGAGGGGGGCCTCCATGGTTGGGTCCCATGGAGGGGGCCTCCATGGTTGGGTCCCATGGAGGGGGCCTCCATGGTTGGGTGCCTCCATGGTTGGTTACCATGGAAGGGGGCCCCATGGTTGGTTGCCATGGAAGGGGGCCCCATGATTGGTTGCCATGGAGGAACCCCCATGGGTTGCCAAGGAGGGACCCTCATGGGCTGCCATGGGGGGACCCCCCACGGGTTGCCACGGAGGAGCTTCCGCACGGGTTGCTATGGAGGAATCCCCCCCCCCCCACGGTTGCCGAGGAGGAACCCTCCCGCGGGTTGCTAAGGAGGGAATCTCCACGGGTTGCTGAGGAGGAACCCCCTCCCTCCACGGGTTGCCAGGGAGGAACCCCACCACGGGTTGCCAAGGAGGAACCCCCACCACGGGTTGCAAAGGAGGAACCCCACCACGGGTTGCCTGGGAGGAACCCCACCACGGGTTGCCAAGGAGGATCCCCACCACGGGTTGCCAAGGAGGATCCCCACCACGGGTTGCCAGGAACCCCACCACGGGTTGCCAAGGAGGAACCCCCACCACGGGTTGCCAAGGAGGAACCCCACCACGGGTTGCCAGGGAGGAACCCCACCACGGGTTGCCAAGGAGGAACCCCACCACGGGTTGCCAAGGAGGAACCCCACCACGGGTTGCCAGGGAGGAACCCCACCACGGGTTGCCAGGGAGGAACCCCACCACGGGTTGCCAGGGAGGAACCCCACCACGGGTTGCCAGGGAGGAACCCCACCACGGGTTGCCAAGGAGGAACCCCACCACGGGTTGCCAGGGAGGAACCCCCACCACGGGTTGCCAAGGAGGAACCCCACCACGGGTTGCCAGGGAGGAACCCCACCACGGGTTGCCAAGGAGGACCCCACCACGGGTTGCCAAGGAGGAACCCCACCACGGGTTGCCAGGGAAGAACCCCCACCACGGGTTGCCAAGGAGGAACCCCACCACGGGTTGCCAAGGAGGAACCCCCCATTGATTGCCAAGGAGGAACCCCCAAGGGTTGCCATGGAGGAACCCCTGTACAGGCCATACATAGTTGTCACCATGGAGTGTCCTGGGGAAGACAGAGGAACGGGTACCCGTCCCTTCCCCAGGGTGCCCTGGGCCTTCCCCAGGGTGCCCGGGGCAGGCTGCTACACCACGTCAGCTCCACCACTAGTGAAAGCTCTATCCCTCTACCATCACAATGCAACAGGTTTGCCCATGCTTGCTAAAAACCATCCCACATCACTGATAAAACACCAGACGTGACCACTGGAGAGAGGGAGAGACCAGTGACGTAGAGGAAAAGGCAAGAACATGGCGTCCTGAGGCCCGTGACGACCTGCACCGCCGCCTGCAGCGTCTCCCTCATCACTTGCCCTGCCCTGCCCCGTCACCACACACCCCTCCCACAGGAACCATCAAACTGCTCGAGGTATATCTCCAACAAGGGTAGTAATACAGCGCAGTGGCAGGTGTCCGTGACAAATTCCTGTGCCGTTACAACCTCCGCTGATAGCCCAGCCAGCGACGCCCTTCATTACTTTTTAACGCTGCATCGTCAGCCTCTCGGCCCCGTCGGTGTAAACTACAGAGTGTGTTGTAGACCTCGGGAAGTGTAGGATGTGAGCGAGAAGCGGTGTAATTTTGAGGTAAATACCTGAGAGTAAGTAGAGGTGAGGGCAGTAGCAGGGGTGGGCGCAGCAGCAGCAGCAGCAGCAGCAGCAGGCCCCGCCGAGTGTACTGAGGCTGGCGGCGCCGCGCCCACGCCGCCGCCACCACCACCACCACTCCTCCAGGATGATGATGCACCACCACAACCACCACCACCACCACCACAGCCTCACCTCCACAACCTCACATTAACCTCCTTCACCTGAAACAATAACATAGTGATCACTAAGTATCCACATTTTAAGGTTTTGTTTTCAAATATAATGGGACCACGTGCTAGTACGTTTTCTCTAGTACTCAAGCTGACCATTTTCTCTATATACGGAGTACGTCAGGCTCCTGACGGCGGGGGGTCGGGGCTGACGCCTCCTCATTATTCATGGGGAAAGCGCAAAACCTGTATGAGTAATACAGCTCCTGCAGACTGGGAAGTAATCAGGTTTGTTCCAGGGAAATAGAAAGTAGTTTGTGTTCTTCGGGACAGTGGTCCTTCCCCACCATCTACTCACCCCCCATGAAGGGTGGCGCCTCCCACACCAGAACCCCGGCTCCTCCATAACAAAGAACCCGCCCGCCGCGGCCACCACCTGCAGCTGCCAGGGGTAGCCATCCCACCACCTGCAACTGCAGGGGTGGCCGCTCTACCACCTCCAGCTGCCAGAGGTGGCCATCCCACCACCTGCAGCTGCCAGGGGTGGCTGCTCCACCACCTGCAGCTGCTAGGGGTGGCCGCTCCACTACCTGCAACTGCTAGGGGTGGCCGCTCCACCACCTGCAGCTGCCAGGAGTGGCTGCTCCACTACCTGCAGCTGCCAGGGGTGTCTGCTCCACCATCTGCAGCTGCCAGGGGTGGCTGCTCCACTACCTGCAGCTGCCAGGGGTGGCTGCTCCACCACCTGCAGCTGCCAGGGGTGGCTGCTCCACCACCTGCAGCTGTCAGGAGTGGCTGCTCCACCACCTGCAGCTGCCAGGGGTGGCTGCTCCACCACCCGCAGCTGCCAGGGGTGGCCATCCCACCACCTGCAACTGCCAGGGGTTGCCGCTCCACCACCTGCAGCTGCCAGGGGTGGCTGCTCCACCACCTGCAGCTGCCAGGGGTGGCTGCTCCACTACCTGCAGCTGCCAGGGGTGGCTGCTCCACCACCTGCAGCTGCCAGGGGTGGCCGCTCCACCACCTGCAACTGCCAGGGGTGGCCGCTCCACCACCTGCAGCTGCCAGGGGTGGCTGCTCCACTACCTGCACCCCTCAGGGAAGGTTCCTTGATGTTGGCGAGGGGCTCTTGATTTAGGGAATTGGAACTGTGCTCCTGTTCCCCGAATTAAGCCTGAATGCCTTCCACATCCCCCCCCAAGGCGCTGTATAATCCTACGGGTTTAGCGCTTCCCCCTTGATTATAATAATAATCCACTACCTGCAGCTGCCAGGGGTGGCTGCTCCACCACCTGCAGCTGCCAGGGGTGGCTGCTCCACCACCTGTAGCTGCCAGGGGTGGCTGCTCCACCATCTGCAGCTGCCAGGGGTGGCCGCTCCACCACCTCCAGCTGCCAGGGGTGGCTGTTCCACCACCTCCAGCTGCCAGGGGTGGCTGCTCCACTACCTGCAGCTGCCAGGGGTGGCTGCTCCACCATCTGCAGCTGCCAGGGGTGGCTGCTCCACCACCTCCAGCTGCCAGGGGTGGCCGCTCCACTACCTGCTGCTGCCAGGGGTGGCTGCTTCACTACCTGCAGCTGCCAGGGGTGGCCATCCCATCACCTGCAGCTACCAGGGAAGGCCAATCTCACCACTTGCATTGCCAAGAGTGGCCATCCCACCACCTGCAGCTGCTAGAAGAGGCCATCCCACCACCTGCAGCTGCTAGAAGAGGCCATCCCACCACCTGCAGCTGCTAGAAGAGGCCATCCCACCACCTGCAGCTGCCAGTGGTGGCCATCCCACTACCTGCAGCTGCTTGGAGAGGCCATCCCACCACCTGCAACTGCCAGTGACGGCCATCCCACCACCTACATCTGCCAGTGGTGGCCATCCCACTACCTGCAGCTGCCAGTGGTGGCCATCCCGCTACCTGCAGCTGTTAGGAGAGGCCATCCCACCACCTGCAGCTGCCAGGGGTGGCCATCCCACCTGAAGCTGCCAGTGGTGGCCATCTCACTACCTGCAGGCACTATCAGAGGCCATCCCACCACCTGCCAGGGGTGGCCATCCCACCAACTGCCAGGGGTTGCCATCCCACCACCGCCAGGGGTGGCCATCCACCACCTGCCAGGGGTGCCATCCCACACCTGCCAGGGTGGCCATCCCACCACCTGCCAGGGGTGGCCATCCCACCACCTGCCAGGGGTGGCCATCCCACCACCTGCCAGGGGTGGCCATCCCACCACCTGCCAGGGGTGGCCATCCCAAACCCCCGCACAGGGTTTGGGCCATCCCACCACCTGCCAGGGGTGGCCATCCCACCACCTGCAGCTGCCAGGGGTGGCCGCTCCACCACCTGCACCTGCCAGGAGTGGCCACTCCACCACTGCGGCTGCCATGGGTGGCTATCCCACCACCTGCAGCTGCCAGGGGTGTCCATCCCACCACATGGAGCTGTTGGGTGAAAGGAAAGTGTTGAAGTCTTGGTCCCCTTACATTTATTAGGTACATCAAGCTTTTTTCATCAATTTTTTCGTTTATAACTTTGAGAACGTCTTAACTATAGGTAAAAAAAAAAAAGCTGGTAAAGCATAACTTTCAAAAGCTTCATGCATCTGTTGGCGTGTGACTTTGAAAATCTATTGACAATATGTATGTCCAAGCACTGCTCTAGGCTGAGATTCGTGGGCCTCCGTGTTCATCAAGAACTGCAAGAAACCTCTATCACATGCCTTGAATATTCTGTGGAGATTGAGCCTAGACACGAGGGTCATCCCACAGTCGTTAAAAGCAACGGGTAAAGCCTCACTCCACAAATATTGCAACAAAAAAAGATAAAAAAAAATTTGATAATAATAAAAAAAAAAAAAAATGACCGATAGCACTAACGTCCCTCATTATAAAAGTCTCCGAGAGAGATCTAAAAAGCAAGATTGCTAACCACTGGCATACCCAACACTGCACAATTCAGGGCAGCATGAGTTTAAAGCACGTCGCTCCTGCCTCTCATAATTACTGGACCGTTATGACATGGTCTTTGATGCACTAGAAGACAAAGAGATGGCAGATGTACTATACACCGACCAAGCAAAAGTACCCCACTTCCCCGGCGCACACAATGTTCTTGTTATATTCGTCAGGGTAAAAAAATCACATAACTCAGGTGTTATTTATATTACATTGGTTAACAATGTTTGAAAAGTTGTATGCTTCTTAAATGAGATTAGTTAATTCTTATGTATTTTCATGTCCTGAATCCAAATATCACCTTGAAAAATGCTTATTGGTTATAGGTTTAAGTTACGAGACATGTATCTTTTTGCTTGACACTTATAGTGGGCTGAAGAATCATTTCTTGCCAATGTCCAGCAATAGTCTGCAAGCATTTTTGTGCCCCATTTGCCCTGGTACAATTTTTCCATGGTTGAAATATCTTAGTGAAACCTTTCACCATGTTCGTCAATAACTGCTTCACAGTTCGCTGGAAAAAAAAAAAGTCTAAATGTGAGTCCAAAAAAGTGGATTTTAAGTGACATGTTACATCCCATGTTCCTGTAAGCCTTGATGAGGTTTTCCACCATTTCTTCATAGTTGCTTTCCTTCTGTTTCCGAGGAATCCCTTCGCCAAGCAGCTTTCTCCTTCCCATGAAGGTCTGATTCAAAGTCACCATCTTTATGAAGCTCTGGAATCTGAGGACCACTGAAGACTCCCTCTCTTATCTTAGCGTCGCTCAGTGAGGGGAATTTTGATATTTAAATACTTGAATCCCTGACCGGATTTGTTCATAGCTTTTACAAAGTTTTTCATGAGCCCCAGTTTTATGTGTAGTGGTGGTAGCAAAATTTTGTTTGGTTCAGTGAGAGGTGGATGTTGAACATTTTTCATCCCAGGCTCCAATGATTGACGAGGTGGCCAGTCTCTCCTGATGTAGTGGGAACCTCTTGTACCTGACCAGCCGGGCTGTGGTTCGTACGTTGGATTGCGTGCAGCCAGCAGTAACAGCCTGGTTGATCAAGCCCTGATCCACCATGAGGCCTGGTCACAGATCAGGCCGCGGGGGCGTTGACCCCCTGAACTCTCTCCAGGTACGACTGTCCCATTCACATAGAAATCGGCAGTACTTGGTGTATCCACCCTACAAGCCCATCACAAGAGCAACAACTTTTAAGTCACCACAGAGCTGCCATTGATATTCGTCATATTTCATGCATTGCAATATATGCTGTGGAAAATTACATTTACCTGGATGTATATCATTAGATACATACCAGTAAATGGTAACAAAGATAATTATTATTTTTCAAAGTTACAAAGACAAGTAGGAATTTTTAGGACACCTAGGTCACAAAAAAATGTCCCCCTTCGATACTTACCATAATCTATCTCTCCACAAGTTGCTCTAGACCTATATTAATTGCAAATAAAATGTACATCACCAGGAATTCTGGTAAAATTTAATATAAATTTGTGGACTGTATATTAAAATTAATAAATGATTACATATACACATTTATATAACAAGAGAATTTATAATCATAACACTCACCAATTTGTCTGGAGATTACTGTGTATCATACTCAAAAACCTTCCTGTCTACATTTATGAAAATATTACTGGCCAGAACTAACATAAACATAGACATCTTATCTGAGGTTCCTGGAGCTGTCTTGTCCATCTGCTTAATGCTCAAATTATGCAGGATTGCACATCCAACAATTTCGGCTCCTATTTGAGAGGTTTTAAGCCCAATATAACCCCTAGAGCGACGAAAATTAAGCACATTACATTAGCATGCCTGTATCACATTCAAAAAACAATGGCGACTCCTCCTGCCCCCCAGCGCAGGCGCACAGCTTCCCTGTCGGTTCACTTCTTCAAAATACACTTTTAATCAGGTTTATTTACACAGCACAACTTTGGGAAATTATTTTCTACATAAGCTTTATATTCTGATAAGTTTCTTTTATATGTGGTGCATAGCCCACAGGAACTGATGGTTTACAAGTCACCTTTCAGACTCGGAAAGAAAACAAACAATTTGAAGATAAACAAAAAAATTATTCATGGTTGATCAGGCTCTGATCCACCAGGAGGCCTGGTCACAGACCGGGCCGCGGGGGC